AGAGATTAGTCCTCAAACTGAGCCTAGGCCTGGAGGAGCCCCAGGAGTTAGAGATTAGTTCTCAAACTGAGCCTAGGCCTGGAGGAGCCCCAGGAGTTAGAGATTAGTTCTCAAACTGAGCCTAGGCCTGGAGGAGCCCCAGGAGGTAGAGATTAGTCCTCAAACTGAGCCTAGGCCTGGAGGAGCCCCAGGAGGTAGAGATTAGTCCTCAAACTGAGCCTAGGCCTGAAGGAGCCCCGGGAGTTAGAGATTAGTCCTTGTGCTGAACAGGGTGGCACTGGTAGCTCATCCAGGTCACCACTAGGATGGCCCTTGGGAAGCAACAACACACTCATTTTACATGGGAGTAGATGAGGGGTTACTAGGAAGTGTGTGCCTCTCAAGGGAGACAGAAAGTATAAGGGCTAGCAGAGAAAGACCTAGGAACTGAGCCAGGCACAGTGGCTCACGCCTGTAATCCCAGCACTTTGGGAAGCCGAGGTAGGAGGGTCACTTGAGGCCAGGAGTTAGACATCAGCCTGGGCAACACAGCAAGACCCTGTCTCTACTATATATATATAAGTATATATGTTGTTATATATCATATATATGTTAGTTAATTAAAAAGTCCTAGGACCTAATAGAGGACAAGCCCAGAAGTCAAAGACGGAGGGAAAACAGATCAAGGCAGGAGAGAGAAAAGGAAGTTGTCCTCCTACCCAGGTCAGGGATCTAAGGCCAAAGGCACATGCCCATGGCTCTTCCTCTCATACACTCAGATTATGATAAGATTGAAACTTCCAAGATCAGGCATCTGCCCTCAAGAAAGGTGAGAGGATCTGCGAGCTGTCTTTGAAACTAGGGCCACTTCCCCTTTCCTCCTAGATGGAAAATGAACCCATTATCTCTGTCTATTGGGATATTTCTAATGTTTGGAAAGGGGACGAAAAAGCTCAGAGAACACAGGCCTGGAGGCTTAATAACCAAATCCAGACCCACTCTAACTCAGTTTCCCCCCCATGGGAGTGCAGAATGAGACTTGTAATCAGTAAGTCACAGTGCCAGCTGAAGCAGTACAGACGGAAGGGAGCTGGGATCACTTACCTGGAGATTCTGACCCTCCATCACATCCCCACAGCCTACGAGATGCGGTCCTGTGACAGGTGGAAAGTCCACAGACTGGTTGACCCCCATTTCATCACCGGGTGAATCAAATGACTTGGTGGAGCTGAACTTGCTGGCTGGATGGCGGAACACAGAACAGCCTCTTGCTGGTTTCCTCTCAGCTTCCTGTTGCTGATAAGTGTCATCTGCCACCCTGTCCACCCTTCCTTAGCACCCCATCCCCCCTGCCAGTCACTCATTACATCTTGCACCTTCGACTTTGCTACATTGCTTTTTCCAAGGTTAGGGGGTTTTTATTCATTTTGCTGGGGTGAGGAGATGGCTGTGGAGAGGACAGAGAGCCATCATACTCCTCCCAGCCCATTAACAAATGTTTATCCAGCAGCTACTATGTGCGCAGCATAGCAGCAATGCTGCAGAGACTGTCACACTTGCTCTCCTGAGGCTAATAGTAACCACAAAGATCCATTATTTACAGTTAGCACTGTACTGACCTCTTTATAGACATTATATATATTACATCATTTCATTCTCTTAACAACTCTCTGAGGTAGGTACTTTTTTTTTTTTTTTGAGATGGAGTCTCACTCTGTCGCCAGGCTGGAGTGCAGTGGCATGATCTCAGCTCACCGTAACCTTGGCCTCTCGGGTTCAAGTGATTCTCCTGCCTCAGCCTCCCAAGTAGCTGGGATTACAGGCACATGCCACCGTGCCCGGCCAATTTTTTTTTTTTTTTTTTTTTAGTAGAGACGGGGTTTCACCATGTTGGCCAGGATGGTCTCGATCTCCTGACCTTGTGGTCTGCCCACCTCGGCCTCCTGAAGCGCTGGGATTATAGGCGTGAGCCACCGCGCTTGGCCTGAGGTAAATACTATGAAGACACTGTTTTGTGTGGGTGGGGTGGCTCAGGCCTGTATTTTGGGAGGCCAAGGCAGGCGGACCACCTAATGTCAGGAGTTCAAGACAGGCCTGGCCAACATGGCAAAACCCTGTCTCTACTAAAAATACAAAAATTAGCCGGGTGTGGTGGTGGACGCCTATAGTCCTAAGCTACTTGGGAAGCTAAGGCAGGAAAATCACTTGAACCTGGGAGGCAGAGGTTGCAGTGCACTGCACTCCAGCCTGGGTGACAAGACACTGAAAAAAAAAAAAAAAAAAAAAAGACCCTGTTTTACAGATGAGAAAACTAAGGCATAGAGAGGTTCAATAACATTCCCAAGTTACCAGGTGGCAAACCCAGTTCTGCCTAATCCAGAAACTGAGTTCTTAACCATTACTGGTCCTGCTCAGGGGGAGAGTCAGTTATACATATGCAAAGTCAATGACCTAAGCTTTTTCTTAAAACTGTTTTATTTTTTGAGGGACAGGGTTTGTCTGGCTATGTTGCCTAGGCTGGTGTCAAACTCCTGGGTTCACACAATCCTGCCTCAGCCTCCTAAGTAACTGGGATTACAGGTAAGAGCCACCACACCCAGCTTTAAACTATTGAATATAGGATGGCACTTGTGCTGGGCCTTTACAGATGGGGAAATTGAGAGGCAGAGGAGGAAGAGAGCACTTATAGAAAAAACCTCAGAGGAAAAAAAGCAGAGATATGGAAAAGTATGATGTGAGCAGTAGATCAAATAGAAGCTTTCAGCGTGACAGCTGTGCATGCTCCTGACTAGAAAACATTCCTACGGCTCAGCTGCTTCCTAAATTGGGCCAGTGCTCCCCTATCCCTCTTCAATTTCATCATCTCCAACACCACCATCATCATCACACTTACTGTGTGCCAGCACACTTACTTAGTGCTTTTCATATATTATTTAATTTAATTCTTACAACAGTCCTCTGAGACATGTATTATTATCTCATTTTACAGACAAGGAAACAGATGCTTGACAAAGGCAATTTACTCAAGAACACCACAGGCAAGCAGAGCCAGAATTCGATCATGGGCAATGTGGCTGTAACATGAGAATGTCAAACTTCCCAGTATCCCTTGCCTTGTGATTTAGATGGGGCTGACCCCTCCTTAACCTCCAGGGTTGAGCCTTCATTAACTGGAGTCAATCAGTCCTTATTCTCTGGTCAGTATTTGGATGAAGAGGGGGCATATGGCATTAGGTTGGTCCACTAGGAGTAACGCCTGGGACTTTGGTTTGATGGTTGAAGGGAGAAAGGTTCTTCCTTGTTTTAAACCAGTGTGATGTGTAGATGTCATCTGTCAAGTGGCTTTGAACCACTGCAGCCATTTTTGCTACCTTGAGGATGAAGATACCCATGGTGGATGGCAAAACTGGGAGAATCATAGAGAAACAGAGTCCCATTTGTGAAGACATTAAGAATCCACAGATTTGCCGGGCGTGGTGGCTCAAGCCTGTAATCCCAGCACTTTGGGAGGCTGAGGTGGATCACGA